CGCTGAAACTTTCGGAACCTGATAATAATGATCTTAAAACCTCACCGTAGTTCTGGACGATCTTGAATTTCTCAGAACTTCTCTGAATTTTTCGGACCTTCCTTAAAATTCATGGACTTGAAATGAAGCTTCAAAATTTTCCTGAAAATCATGGAACCTCATTAAAGATGTTGCAATTTTGCTGATAACATTTTTCTTGTAACATCTGTAAAGTTCCTACATTTTGTTTAGAAATTAATCGAACCGCCCTGAAATTTTCAAAATTATTTTTGACGTTTGAGGAATTTCCCTTAAGTTCCCACAACTTTCCCGTGAACACGGAGCCAGATGTCAGTAGTGTGCTTTGGTCAGAAATTTTATTGTTTTTCCTATGGTCATTCATGTCGGTTTGTCGGTGCTAAAACCTCCTTGGACGCCTTGCCCTGTTCCCCCGGAACCACTTGTCGTATTACTTCGGAGGGGGCCGTGTATTACGCACCTCACTTTACCTCAGCTAACTGGCGCTTCCAGGTCGCTGGTCGTCTCTCCAATTTGTGAGCCATTTAGCTCCCAGCGTCACGTTCTACTTGGTTATCCCCGGTGGTGGATTCAGCCTACTCTGATGGAGAGTTCTCCCGGCCTCGGCTTTCACTTCGCACTTGTGTGAGCACATTACTACTTTCTCGCTGCAGCGCTGACATGATCTGCGTTACTGCTCTGCTGACGACGTTAAACGTACCCTCCTCTCGACACATTTCATCGACGATATTCTCCGTGCTAAGGGCGAGCATCTCCTCTCGCACAGCATCAAATCTAGGACATTCTAAGACCACGTGCTCTGGTGATTCTTCCACATTCCCACACTCCGGACAGAAGGATGACGTTGCGTGTCCGAACCGATGCAGATACTTCCTGAAGCAGCCATGACCAGACAGGAACTGCGTCAAGTGGAAGTTGACTTCTCCATGCTTCCTGTTCACCCAGGTCAAAAGAATCGCTATTAGCCTGTGGGTCCATCCACCGTTCTCTGCTGCATCCCACTCCTGCTGCCACTTAGCAATCGACCCCGTTCTCACCATTTTTCGTACTCCTCTGGCTTCTCTCGTCATATAGCACTCGTAGTCCACCGCCAAGGTGATGCCGATTGGGATCATACCGGCGATAACGCATACTGCCTCCATCGAAATGGTTCTGTACGCACTCACGACTCGCATGGCCATGAGCCGGAACGTACTGCTATATTTCCTTTGGTTATGCTTCGTTTTCAGCGCTTCAATCCAGGCTGGACCTCCGTACCTTACTATCGATGAAGACACACTAGCCAGAGACGCCTCTTGCTGCTGCTTGGACCAGAATTGTTCGGCATGATGACATGCATGCGTTGATGACCTTCGCCGCCTTCTCGCAAGCATATTCGATGTGGCTGTTAAAGTTTAGCCGGTCGTCGATCATCACCCCCAGATACTTCACCACGCGCTTCGAAACAATGGTGTACTCTCCAACGGTGATTTCTGCCCGCTGCACTGCTTTGCAGTTACTGACCAACATCACTTCTGTTTTGTGGTAGGCAATCTGCAGCTTCGCTCCTTGCATCCAGTTACCAATCGTATCTATCGCCTCGGCCGCCAGCATTTCCACTTCTACCAGTGTCTCACCGGTTACCGTCAAGACGACATCGTCCGCAAAGCCAACAATCTCAACTCCTTTGGGCAGCTTGAGCGTCAGCACGCCATTGTACATTCCATTCCACAGCGTGGGACATCGAATGGAGCCTTGTGGAACTCCCGCCGTGATTCTAAGCGATTTATGCCCTGTGTCTGTCTCGTGGACCAGGACCCGGTTCTGGAAGTAACTACTTAGAATCCTGCAGAGGTAGTCTGGAACCCTCATTCTATGGAGCGCCTTGGCGATGGCCTCCCAGTTGGCGCTATTGAATGCATTCTTCACATCAATCGTAATCACGGCGCAGTATCGATTTCCTCCCCGCTTCTGTTTGGAAGCTTTCTCGGCTCTGTCAATCACTGTCCGAATTGCATCCACCGTCGATCTCCCTTTCCGGAATCCGAACTGCCTCTCTGACAACCCGTGTTCACTCTCCGTGCATTTCGTCAGCCTGTTGAGGATGATCCTCTCCAAGAGCTTTCCGACAGTATCCAGCAAGCATATTGACCTATACGATGCAGGATCCCCCGGCGGTTTTCCGGGCCTTGGCAACAGCACAAGCTTTTGTACCTTCCACCTATCCACATTTATATCGCTGTAAAGCAACTGTAAACTATAGAGGGAATTTGTATCTGTAACCTGGTAAAAATGTCATATTTAATTATCTTACAGATAAATCGTTCAGGTCAAACCCTTGTAGGGGTAAGAGGTGGGACCATCATCATCATCATCACCTATCAGGGAACTGACCCTCGTCCATACATTTCTGCAGCACTATCCTGAACATGTCCGGGAACGTCTGGATCGCCGCCTTCAACGGCTCGTTGGGAATTCCATCGTGGCCGGAAGCTTTCTTCGCCTTTAACCCTTTCGCTGCTGCTAGGAGTTCCTCGTTGGAGACTTGTTCAACGTTGTCTCCATCTTCCTCGTCATATGGTGTAGGTGGCCAGGTCATTGGGTCATGCTGTGGGAAAAGTCCCTCCACGATGACTTTCAGCTTGTTGGGACACATTTCAACCGGTATCATCTGATCTTCGCCATCGCGACTCGGTATGTGTTGCCCCAGGGTTTGGCATTGGCATTGGCTCTGTCTGCTTCCGTTCTTGCTCTCTGAACGCGCCTTCTGGCTAGAAGACAACTAGCACGGAGGGGGCTAATTTTCTCGTTCCACCAGTAAGCTGGACGCCGCCTGTTCGTTGGTTCCAGTTTTCTCGGCATAGTTGTGTCACATGCCCTTGCTAATGATTCGGTCAACTCGTTCGCGCTTAGACCCGGGTTTGCTGCTGTCTACCCTTAGAGCTTCGATGAAGTGAACCTTATTGAATGCCTTCGTCTTTCACTTCCGCTCGCTTACTTTCGTCCTCCGCATTTCCACCGGTGTCCGTTCGCCGATACTGTACCGGATGGTCACTATGGATGTACTCTTCGCACACTCTCCAGTTCATATTTGCCACTAGCGACGTACTGCAGAAAGTGACGTCGATAATGGATTCCCTACCATCTTTGCGGAAGGTGCTGATGGTTCCTAGGTTGGCCAGACTGACGTTCAACTTTGCCAGAGCTTCCAGCAGGCTATACCCTCTTGCGTTGGTACACCTGCTCCACCAATCCACTGCCCAAGCATTGAAATCTCCTGCGATGACGACTGGTCTCCGTCCAATGAGCTCTCCGGTGAGCTCATCTAGCATCTGGTGGAACTGCTCAATTGTCCATCTCGGGGGTGCGTAGCCATTGATTTTGGCGATCACGAAACCTTCGTATGAGCCCGCCACCACTTGTTGAATGGGATACCTGCCAATGACTTGTATGGCCGCCATTCCTGCTCTATCCGCCACCCAGTTACCATTATCGAGAGGGACTCGATAGAGCTCTGCAATGATAGCAACGTCGCACTTTGCTTCCGTTGTCGACTGCCACAACAGTTGCTGTGCTGTGTTGGAATGATTTATTTGGGTTACCTCCATTATTGCTGGCCCAACATCGCCAACTCTGGGCACCTGAAACTTCCCGTCACACGTTTCCCTCCTCCTTTTTGCAGAGCATGTGTTCTTTCTCTCCGCATTTCCTGCACAGATCAGATCTGTTAGGGCCTTTGCAGTTCCTCACCTGATGACCGAAGCCCATGCATTTGTAGCATCTCTCCATTTTCTTAGACACCCGAGGAATAGCTTTCAACGGGCGCACTGACCACCCAACTTTGATTCGGCCTGTCTTCAGCAGCTCGTTAGCTGCGTCCGAAGAAAGTCGTATCGACGCCGTTTGCGTGCTACCATTATGATCTCGTCCAGATCCCTGCACTCAACCACTGACTCCTGGGATAAGGCTCTTACGTTCGCCGTCCCGCCAAGAGATTTTTCGACGAGCTCCTTAAAAGCTGCGCTCTTAACCGTAGGATCCCTTTTCAGCTCAAATAGCATCTCGCCTTTCTGGGTTCGCCTGGTTTTCACCACGTTCTCGCCTAGTTGTTTCAACTCCGGATCCTCTCTCACTTTCCGGAGGAGTGCCACGTAGGACGTTTTGTCTTTCGCTTCTACAACCAGAGCGTCACCCTTGCTTCTCTCCCTCCGAGACCTAGGATTCTCCTTGTTCTTCCTGTATTCCTTCTTCTTCTTTTTCTTCTTCCTCGCTTCCTCTTCCTTCTTCCTAACTTCATCTTCCTTCTGTTTTTTCTTCCTCTCCTTCTGGTTCTCGACTTTAAGCCAACCACCATTTTCTCCCGTCTTGTCCAGTCCATAATCACCAAACCACCAACGGATCTTTAATAAACAACAAACGAATGTAAATATCAGACGTAAACAATCCTGACAGGGGTGCCAAAAATAATAGAAAATGTGTCTTTTCATGTGACAGAAGGGTGTTTAAGTGTGTCAATGTGTGTTTTGCTGTGTTAAAGTGTTGACACAAAGTGGCAGAGTGACTTACCCGCTGACAAAAACAAATCAAGTTACTCGTGGAGTAACCATAAGTAACCACCATGGCAGACCTGCTCTTCGTCTAGTTCCAGTTGGATCTTTATCGAGAAGCATTTTCATCGGGTGATCGACCGACATTCTAACAACGTGCCCAACCTACCAACCCAACAACAAGCCATGCTAAAGCTTGAACGTTCGCATCGCGTTGAAACCACTTGTTGATGTGTTTCCATGCATTGATATGAATCATACCAATACATGTGCAGATGTGAACGACTGTCACTGAATCAACTCGCTTTCCAGGGTTACAGTTGAATCGCACATTCGCGCACAGGGAATTTCTCCTGCAAGTAGTCAATCCGGAGAGCTATTCAGATTCAAACTCTGCATACCGTCAGGCGATGTTCTTTCGAATATATCTGAACTGTGGAACATGTTCATTATAGATTTCGAATTTGTTACAATTTTTATTCGCATAGTTTTCGGATTGTTTCACGATTGTTACACTTCTAGAATAATCAGAGTTAAAGATCTATAATAGTAATACAACAGAGTTTAATCGTTAAAATAGGATTAAAAATAACGTCAATTTTGCTTTATACACTTGTTTCTCCGCACATAAAAATGGGTTCATTCATCTCACGGGTGAACAGGACGTTTGGTGCATGATTCTATTTTTTTTTTTTCGATTAGATGATTAGACAAAGGTGTACATTTCTACATCAGCTTGATTATAAAACATACAGGTTTTGGATTTCCCCTTTTTCGGGCGGGAAATGGTCATCTCTAGGTAATCAAATGGCATTGATAGGTATCGCGAACGTTCTCTCCTCTCGCACTAGCTCACGCATTCACTCTAAGCTTAATATTTGCACATCAAGTTGATCACTGCTTCCGGAAAGCCTGCTCAGCCGGATACTACACCGTGGCGGCAATCGTTTCCCGGACCCATTGGGTGTTGGATGTAATTTTGTCATACATCCGGGGTCGTTCGACTCCATTCGGGGCGCAAGCGATTCTCCACGAAGCGACTCCAACCAGGGCCCACTTTCTTTCGGTTGGTAGGAGGCAAACGACCGGACTTCCGGCAAACTCCTCCTCACTGCAGTCCTGCTTGTGGTAAGCTGCCTCCGTGCACATGCTGTTCACCGTTGCAATCGAGACGTTTTCGCAAGGTTTCATATCGCTGATCTTGAGCTGCACCCGTTGCAGGTGATCCCGCTGGCGACTCCAACCCAACGTGTTGCAGTTGATCCAGACGGTTTGCTTCGTCTTGGATGGTTGAAAGCCGCTGCCGATGTAGTTCAGCGTGGAGATGTAGTTGTTCGTCTGCGGTGAGTTCTCCGGCAGAGGGTAGGGATTCTTGGTTCCACTAACCTGGACGGCTTCGGCTTTCGGGATTTGAGCTCCTTCGTCGGCGAATTTGGCGTTGTATTCGTTGGTGGAGAAGCGGGAAGATTCGGTGATTTCAGAGTAGTCATCGGACGTTTCATCATCTCCGGGGGCTTCGAAATACTGACGGAACTCCTTGATGCGCTTTTTCGGGAGAGATTTGGAGAACCGCTCGGCGTGGGGAGTCGGAGTGACGTTGTTGTCGCTGCGGTCGATGGTTTCCTTCAGCGGAATGTCCGGTAGGCAGATCGGGCGGACAAAGTCCGAGTAGATGACGGGGTTTTCCAGGCGCACCAGGGCAGCAGTGCTGCCTTCGACGGGAGATTTCACCATGCCGATCTGGAAGAGTGGAAAAATGGGTCATGAAAGTCCTCGAAGGAGGGTATTTTGAATGAGCAGTTACGATTCGTCTTCGTTGCGTCCATGGTGCATTGGAGGATAGGCGAACAGCTCCAAAAATGGCCATCCATGTTGCCTTTGCTTGTCCCTGGAAGCAGGACTCTGTAGTGAGGACCCAATCTGATGAGACCTGGGAAAATTCAGAAACTTAACCGACATACGGTTTGGAAGACAATGGACCACTTACCAAAGTTCCGTCGCACACGTGAGTGTCCGCGCGGAACAGTGCCACCATCCAGGGCCAATCTCCGGGTGCAGCCATTTTCGACAGTCCCATATTGGGATTACTCGGCAGGACAGACTGAACTCCGCACTCCAACTGGCCACAGCTTACATACAATGATTGCTTGCTCTGGCACGTGGTCCTCACAAAGGAAATCTCCGACGCCCGAGGGTCCAGAACACGCACGTAGCTGGTATTTGGTTCCGTGTCGTTGCGAATTTGCGAATAGTCGACCCTTTCGAATCCAAGGGCTTTACAGAGAGACTCGGCAACCGTATTCCGCACATAATCATTACCTTCCATCCCGACGGAGCACAGCTTACCGGTTGTGCCCTTTTCCGAAAACACAGCGTAGCCTTCCGAAAAGAACCGTGGCCGGTAGGGTACAATTGGCGATGGGAAGGTCAAATAAGTCACTTGAGGGGAGATTGAAACTGTAAACAGAGTGGAAAATTAGATCACATCCCCTGCCAAGACGGAAGAGTCAACTTACGACAATCCTTCTCATCGCTTCCATCAGGGCAGTCCATTTTCCCGTCGCAGCGGGCATTCTTCGCATAGCAAACTCGACCTCGACCGCAGTAGATCGCACCATACGGGCAAAACGTGCAGGTATTCTCATCAGACATATCTGGACAGTCGGCAACTCCGTCGCACAATCGTGAAGATAATGCATTCGACTGCAGTTCACCGGCGCAACCAGGACGGCTGTGGCACGACTGAATCCCGGTAGACTCCGGAAACCGCTCACAGTCCAAGAACTTCTTGAACCGTTCCGGCAGCCGATCACCACAGCCGCTCCAGAAAGCTTGACAATACTGCCGGCAGACCTTACCGGCAACTGGTTCCTCAATCCTTCGGTACTCGCACGGAGGTTGCAGCAGCCGACAGATAAAGTCAAATGCCTGCCGGAAACACTCCGCATCGACCAACTCCCGGAAAGAGATCAGATCCGCCTCGACTTCCTCAATCGAACCGTGACCGAAGAAGTTCGGATAGGTTGTCATATTGTAACCAACCGAGCGGCAGTAACTCAACCGCAGCGGTTCACACTTGCGTGGAGGTCGAGCGGTGGTAACGACTTCGTTGATTTCGTCATCCTTGCCACCAAGTGGCGAGGACGATGTTCCCGGAATATCATCGAATTGACCTAGGACTTCCTTGATGATCAAACTGGACGGATCGATGGTTAGGTTGCGGAAGTACCGCGGGTGATCGGAGATGATCTCTTCCATGATGATCGAGTGCAGATCGGCGGCGGAAACTAGTTCAGCGTATGGGTCAAAGTACATCGCAAAGTGCAGGGTTAGATCTTCGCCTTCGTTGCTGTAATAGATACGGTTAGTTTTTCAGCGGGTCTTGAAGAAGTGTCACACTTACCCATCCAGCGCTAGAATTTCACTTCCCTCATATGGTTCCCGAAGGTCAGAGCGTCGCATGATCAGGTTGATTCTTTCCCGATAGTCCCGTGCTCGGTGCTGAAATTGAGTCGTACTTTGGTCGGCCAGTTCTGGTGTCCAGTGATCCCCTTCGACCACCCGTAACCGTGCTCGGAATATCCTATCCGGGAGGGGTTCTGGTCGAAGGTAAGTGTCTAAAATATTTCGAAAGAGGTTACATTACGTTTGGATCAGGTAGTCGGGGAAAACGTAACACAATGAACCCACGTGAGTCCATCAAGCAAATGAATATGAGATGCGTATAAGGTTGGTGAAACGACGAGGTTCCCATCATTGGAGAACTTTCAACGTGAGGCACATGTGAAGAACATAGATAGACATAATAGACCGTGGGAGATTCGTTTCTGAAACACAATGTGTATCAGAAGGAGGTTTGATCGCGAAAGTAAAAAGTGTGTTAGACACGTGTCTTTCGCGCATGGTCATTTCGAAATGCTTTCTTCAAATCCATTACATATGACTTCTTCCAACTATTACGTCAATCACAGAAAGACAATATACTTACATCCCACATAGACAATGACCCCGGCAAACAGCAGTATCAGCAGAAACCCGGCGATCAACGCGCAGCCACACTTTTGATTGTCGCCGAGCTTCCTCCGTGTAAACCGAATGTCCGAGTCGCTCGAAAGGACCGAATCCGCCCGGCTGCTCTTGTTGTTGTTGGTGTTACTGTTGTGCTGCCGATGGTGATGATGGTGATGGTGGTGGTGATGATGCCCATTGGAAGACTTGTGATGCAGCCCGTTCCGATGGTGCTTGGTTTGACTGCTGTCCGAGTTCGATCGATGCTTGCGGGACTTTTCCGGACTGGATCCGACGCCACCACCGCCGCCGCCGCCGCCATGCGGGGAAGTGTCCAGGTTCAGATTCAGGTGGTTCAGGTGATGTGTGTGACCGTTGTGGTGCAGCGTTGGCGGTGGTTGGAGATCGTCGAAGTACGGATCGTCCTCCGGCGGCGGAGGCGGCGGAAGGGAGTCGCAGTCGTCCGATTCGGGATATTTTGTACTTTTCTGGGAAAGGAAATCAGAAACATGGAATGATCGTTAGCGTCGTTGAACTTGATGAACTTAATAGAATTTACATTGTACCAATGTATGTTAAGACAGACGTTTGGAGGGCCTCAAGGCTATGTTTCGAGGAAGTGTCATGGACTTGTAAGATGTATTCGGAAAGCTTCACGGAGAAAATCACAGGATTCCAAGAATTTCTAAGATATTGAACTAAAAACACAGTGTTCTTTTTGTTCGCATTTTCTCGAATCCACATTTAGTGATATACTTTAAGGTGCTTCCTTGTAGAGTGTTTTTTTTAGCACAATTCACAATTTCAAGATTTACGAGGTTTATAAATCTGCATCTGGGGTCACTTGATTTTTTCTTTATTGAACTTTAATAAAAAAAAATATTCCAATAGGCTTCTGATAAAATCCCGTTATTTCTTTGATATTCTTCCCATTATTTGTCTGGTCAACCTCAGCGGCCCAATTGACAGATTGTTCTCGTCACGATCGGTCGTTCTTTCGGTACTTTCGAGCTGTTTATTTTTCTCCTTTTTTCACTTCGTAGCAAGTCTACTTTTTTTCTAATCGGCGGGAAATCACTCGTGGCTGGCCATAAGGCTCCCCAACGCGAGTCATCGGAGTAGTGCTGGCTTTTAATAGCCATTAAATCCTAGAAACATATTTCTTGTTTTTCCATAAACCAAAGTCACCGGCTGGGGATAGCAGCTATTGGAACAAAAGCACGAGCTTTTGTCGGTTAGAGAAGAGAGTCGTCAGAACAATCTCGCACTTACAGTGAATTAGTAGTGAGTCACTGTTTGTTTACATCCCTCCCCGGGTAAAGTAGGCGCAGTGTTTCCGTGCAAATCTCCGTTAAAAGCCGTGCTTCACAGTCGGAATAGTCTTCGGTACAGGTCGGAGACACCCCAAGTCAGTTTTCGTGGTGAAATATATCACTCCGTCGACTGAAAACCCCAGTCCGATACAGTGAAAGCAGTTTAACTCAAAGAACTCACTCCCAAGAGAGCGGTCTCTCACCCGGTATATAACAGTGAGCCGTAGTGTTTTCGCGGGTGTTACGTTCTCCGGATAACTTGTGCATTAAAGTCACGAAGAAAAAAAGTAGAAGGGTCTGTGCCTAGGGGCACGGACGGAAGCTGGACGTAGGACCGCTAGTGGACGGAATAAATTGTGAAGAGCATTCAGTTTTTTTTAATTAATCAATCATCTATTATCTCAACTCATTCCGTTTTTGAATTGTAGGCGTACCAAAATTTTAGTCATCTATTTCAAAGAGAAAGTTGATTAAGAGAATCAATCAAAATCACTTGCACTGCACCCCTGCTTCCAAGTTTAGTTACACGATTACAACTCTGGAGAGCATTTTGTGTGGTCGTTGGGGGCTTGCGGTTCTGAATATGGACAAACAAGCACAGATAAATTCTTTTCCAACTCTTTACTGATGTAAGCTTGATGGCCCTGAAAAGCGCTGTTTTATTGAAGAGGACATCCATGGCCACTTACGCTTGGCGTGTTTAGTGTAGGTGACAGCACCACGGACCTCATTTTCCAGGAACACCTTCAGCACACCTCGTAGATCAGACCGGAGATACGTTTGACACCAGTGACACCACCACGGCGAGCCAGACGACCGATGGCGGTTTTCTCGAAGAACTTTGCGATTACGCTTGGCGCCTCCTTTACCAGACCTTTTCCTCCGTTGCCACGACCAGTCAATTGTTGCTTGTTAGGTGTGAAGGAGTGGACTAGCCACCACCTTCCTACTGCTGCTATTATTGTCCGAAGCGAAAATGAGCTAATGCCATACAGCAGCGCTCTTTTATATCTTTTCAGGTTACGATGTGCAACCAAGTGGTATAAAAGCTACAAAGACTCCTCCCATTATGAGTAGTAAGCTATCAAGTAGCGATACTGGCTCTTTTCCTTTTGCGTACACGGTGAATGACAACGACCCAAATTTGAGTTTAGTTCACTCATAATCGCCAAAAGTGCAGGAACTCAGCGATGAGTAAATTTGTCTCATGGTTTCCTGTGGAAAACCTAAAAATCTGCCAGAAAATGAGGAAATTGACGAAAATTTTATTCAGTCTCGGAGTAGTACCAATAGACTGAGTAAATCCAATCTTTACTTTTCTCAAATTTGGGAATTTTCCCCTGGAAAATCCTGGAAAAACCTGGGAAAACATTAGGCAAATTTACTCATCGCTGAGTTCCTGTACTTTATTTCTTATTTCTGAGATAACTAAACTCAAATTTGGGTCGTTCTCATTCGCCATGATATCACCTTGAAAGATATCGGCGCCGGTGGTTAGCGTGATTACCTCTCACCCCAGCGGGCCTGGGTCCAATCTCAGTCGGTGCCACCGGCATGTTCTAAGGCATAACATCTCTGATCACGCCTTCCTTCGGGAAGTAAAGCCGTTGGTCCCCGATTGAGTTGATGGGTCGATTGGTAGGGTCCAGGTGTGGGAGCTGCCTCCCTGGCGTCGGTAGCATTGGAGCTCAGTACGGAAAACAAATCCCGCGTCACTTTTCAATAGGTCCTATCTACCTTGATCGATTCTCTTCATCGACACTCTCTTTCGTAAATAACTCGGATTCACACATGTTTATTGCCGTCTTCGTCGAATTAGATGCTAGATTGTTGCTTATTCCATCGAAAATATCCGGCCGTGGCGATTCAAAGTTGATCAAGGTTGTTCAAAATAATGTGTACCCCTGCTTCCAGTTTGATTACATGAGCATTTTGTGTGATCGTTGGTTCTGAATATGGACAAACAGGCAGATGAATTCTATTCCTACTCTTTACTGTAATAAGCTTGGTGGCCCTGAAAAGAGCTGTTTTGTTGCCAACCTCCGAAACCAAACAGTGTCTCTGTCACTTCAAAACGTAGATGATTAGAATCTATGGCCGCTTACGCTTGGCGAACCCATGACCACTTACGCTTGGCGTGTTTAGTGTAGGTGACAGCATCACGGATCTCATTTTTCAGGAACACCTTCAGCACACCTCGTAAATCAGACCGGAGATACGTCAGACACCGCCACGGCGAGCCAGACGACGGATGGTAGTTATCTCGAAGAATTTGCGTTTGGTTCTGAATATGGCGATGAGGGTGCAAAATATTACGCAATTCCATCCTCCCTATTCATCGGAGGCGAATGCCACTTCGACTTGTTTCGTCTACTTACTACTCTCTGACGACTGTGCTGGGGAAGCAGCATATGCATGTAGGTAATTGGTGGATTTGTTTGTTAATTTGACGCTTTTGGACAATGCTGGACATTTACCAGTTTTTCAATAGTTTCTTGTTGAAAATCAACATTCGGAAGCATTGTTATCGATGCGTAGCCATATTTCTGATCGATTGGTGATAAAATTATTGAAATTGGACCAGGGGCAGCTGAGTTATTAACGTTCAAAATCTTTCTTAATTTGTTACATGTTTCATTTTTGGTTTTCACAAAGTGTACCCCATATAGAAATCAAAGACGTAGTCCTACGTAAAAAAATAAAAACAAATTGCCTATAAGGGGTTAAAATCGGACCACTCTATCTATCTGGTTTCCATTTCCCCCGTGTGAAAAAATAAATAATCAAAGTGCATCGTTGGGGGTAATTTTGCCCGCGGTCCACCGACCATGGCGTCAGCAGTGCACCCCTTACCCCTTACTGGGGACCCGGGTGAAGGTCTATCGAACAAATCTACACAAAACCTAATTAATGGAAGCTATGCTGGAAGAACCCTTACAGAGTACATGGACCCCAAAAATACCATCGGTGAGTTGACAATTCTGAGGATGGAAGGCGTCCACGGCTCACTTCCGAAGCACCCCTTTCTCCTAAGAACCTCCGTGGAAAAATGGATCGGCTCAAAAATAGAAGGAGCTTTTCCAGAGGGCAAAGGGATCTCCTACGCTCTCAAGGTCCGTAGCCCTGAACAAATCAAACGTATGCTGGCGATATCGAAGCTACTCGACGATACAGAAGTCAAAATAAGCAAACATCCTAACCTCAACTTCACCCGATGCGTTGTAAGCTGTCTAGACACTGTGAATCAACGACGATGATCTCAAGGCTGCCCTAGCTTCTCAAAAGGTTGCGGATCTTCACCGGATCACTCGAAGGGTTGGGGAACGACGGGAAAACACTCCCAATATCATCCTAACGATCGAAGGGACTACTCTTCCGGAATTCATAGACTTCGGCTAGCTTCGATGCAGGACAAGACGGTACTATCCGGCACCGATGTTGTGCTATAAGTGCTGGAGTTTTGGACACACCAGGGCTCGTGGCTAGCAAACCCAAGCAACACCATTTGTTTCTCAGCGAGTAACAACAACCTTAGTGTGACTAATAGACGGTCTAAATTAGGGACAACGCACCGCATATAAAACTTCATTGTACCTTAAAAAGCGCAGAAGGTGGAGTCTCTTTGCAACTTATGTTTGTGGCATAAGGTGTTGCAAATAAGGTGCATGTAACATGATATGTTAATGACACAAGTTGTAAATGAGGTTTCAACTGACTTAACTGCAATGTTTCACTAAAATATTTAAAACTGTACTGTGATGTTTTCGAATACATGTAAATGACATTCAAGTTAACCACATAAATGTATTGGATATTTTTGTGAGGTGATACGGAAAAAGCATACTGATGTTTTTATTCAGACTGCAAAATCAGAGATGACAATCGTAGAAAAAGTCATTGAATAAAAGTTTGATATTAATTACTTTAAAATATTGATAACTAGTCTTTTTTTTTCAAACGCATCTAGTTTTATGGTGAAATTAAACATTTTGCTTCGATTAAATATATACGCCTTCAAAAACTTATAAATTAATGCCACAAATTTGCAGCTCAAAAATATTTTGAAATAAAAATTGATCTGTAAAATAAAATATTTATATTCAAATTATTGGAAAACATTACAGCTGTAATAAGTATTACACGTTTTTACGTTAATAGGGTGTGAAACATGAATA